ATATGTCTGTGACAGGCCAATATCAATCAGCAGCATCTGCCAATTGATATAGCAGTTGAGCTCTAACTATGCATATCACAGTATTCCTCTTGTTTAAATATTATTTTGAGCCAAATGTTGTTATTGTTTCATGGTGTTTTACATGAAAAATATTATAATATTAATATGTCCCCTATCCATGATCATCACAATACTTTAAAAGTACACACCATAAAGTCTTTAACTTTATGTGAAATTTATAGGAAAGTAAACTCACTATTGCACTTTAAACTCAGTCACAGAGATCAACAGTACATTTTTACTGTAATGTATAGAAGCTGCCGGAAAATGCTGTAAAACACAGAGCCACACTAAGAAGGATCTTTGATGTGTGTGTGTTGATGGGAGGAGATGGAAGTCTGGGTCACAGGGGTCAAAGAGGCCGTTTACAGCAGATCCAGGGTCAAATGGAGAAAAATCAATCCTCTCATCGTGTAACCAATAAGCAGTTTCACACCAACTACACATCCCTGAGCTCTCAGCCTCTGAGTCAAGCTCCCAATTGACTATCATCACGTCAGACGTCTGCCCTCTGGCTATCTCCTGTACCTGGTCGTTAGTCAGCCAGTCAATTAGGAGTGGTTGCCAACCTCATAGCCTGTCATTAAGCGTGAGTGGGTGTTGCTCTGGAGATTACAGATGGTTAGAGGTTCAAAAAGGTCCAGCAGTACTGAGGATTTGGGGGTATTACCATGCAAGCTGGAGAGAAAGTACATCCCCCATGTGCAGACTCATTGTGCATCTCTGGTATTACCTGGCCTGAGTGTCCTCCAGGTTCTCAGCTGCGACGGTCATGATCTGCTGAAGGACGTCACCGGAGTTCTGCTGATGGTTCTGGTGTTTCTTGATGCCGTCTGGGTCTTTTACATCCTCTCCAGTTGGACCAACACGACCCGACATGGCGAGGGCTTCCATACCGCCAGCGAGGCGCTTATCCATGAGTGGAGGGAGAGATGACCACAAAGGAGGTTCCTTCTCCAACTTGTAGCACTTGGAAAGGATGAAAACTGCCCCCCCCCCCAAAAAAAAAACATAGAGAACAATGTACTTTAATAAAGAAAGAAGAGGAAGCACCTGAACTGGGCCTCCACAGGTTGTTGTTCTCTGCCATGAGAGGACACAGTTCACCACACATTAGTAAGGTGCTGGTATTTTTATGAGCTGCGTTTTGTGCAATAAAATGAAGAAACAAGGAGAAATGTGTTCATGAAAGGAGGGTTTTTCTATGATGAACAAACTGAACAACAATTTCCAAAGTGGCTCAGTCTTGCTGTTACTAATCAGTGTCTCTCCAAACGCCAAAGAAACATCATACTGTCATAATTACCACAGATAAGAAAGTGCCTTTTGTGTTAATTATAGTAAAGCTTCATATCTAGTAACCTGCTGCCGAATCCACGAATATCTGCACGGTTTTTAAGAGTGCAAGCGAACAAATTCACCTAAAACGCGGTTCAGAGGAATTACTTCCTAAAGAACCTCATCCACGTGGTTCGGTCCGAGCCTCCCACCGCCTGCTTCCTATCATGTGTTGCTGTTAATTCCCGTTTTCATTCACCAACACGAGTGTCTCCGTGTTGCTCCACTCTGCTGCTCCGCTGGCAAGTTACCCGACATGGAGACGAGATTTCCTTTTAAGACCTTCAAAACAAAAAAAAAACGGAACTAAAGCAAAATGCCAAATGTTCCAACCTAATCCACTTGTTTTGCTCATTTTTTTCGTTTTTGACTTGTTGGGGATTTTTGTACATATATAATGAAATATGTTTTGTTCTTTCTTTGCATTGATTTTCATTTTTTCATTGATTTTGGTGTAAATACATACATACATACATACATACATACATACATACATACATACATACATACATTTGTTTAATCAGAATCCTTTTTATTGTGATTATGCACATATTCACATGCTTCTGCACACATAATTCCATAATTGGCTTTTGCACGTCTTATTGTGGGTTGCACGGATCTTTCTGTGTGGAGTTTGCATGTTCTCCCCGTGCAGCGTGGGTTCTCTCCGGGTTCTCCGGCTTCCTCCCACATAGTCCAAAAACATGTTGAGGTTAATTGGTGATTCTAAATTGTCCGCAGGTGTGAATGTGAGTGTGCTTGGTTGTCTGTCTCTAAGTCTAGCCCTGTGATAGACTGGTGATCTGTCCAGGGTGTCCCCTGCCTTCACCCTAAGTCAGCTGGGATAGACTCCAGCCCCCCGTGACCCGAGTGAGGATTAAGCGGTATATATATAATGGATGGATGGATGTCTTATTGAGATTCTCTTGGCCCACTTTTGATCCGTGACACTTGTTGAATAAGCTGAGGTCCCATTTGGCTCCTCAGTGTGCCCACATGCCACCTATAAAATAATCAATAAAATAAACTGGGGGGTCAAAATGATCCAAAATAGGCCAAAGTGGGCCCACGTGTCTCCAATGAAATTACTTTTACACATTTACATTTATGCATTACAGGAAAGTATTAGAAAAGCCTTGTTATGATGCCTTTAGAGTTTTTGTACTGAGCAGTTATGACACGTGACTGTTTTCCAAGGCAAAAATAAAAAGTTGAAAAATGATGTTACTCCATCCAACAAAATGCACAACTTTGAAAATTGTTTAGAATGATTGTAAAGACCAAACAGTCTGTCTGCATAGTGAGATTAAAGCGATTACGTGCTTTTATTTTGAAAGCAGCATTAGTAAATTCTGGTTTAGTTCTGTCTGTCTTTAAGCAGCTCTCCATCAGTGTGTCTGTTGGCTCTGAGTGCTGCAGTTTGATTTTAAAACCGCGAAGAGGTCAAGATTTCACTGTGGCGCCCATGTTGGTGTTGATGATGATGATGATGATGATGATGATGATGATGATGATGATGATGCTCCCAGCACTAATCCATTATCATTTTCCATCAGTGTCAGTTTTACCTGCATTTTGCAAAAAGCAGATCATCGTGCAAACCACTTTTAACCTAGGTGGCAGTCATGATGTGTCACTTTTTAAATTTAGAAACAATTTGCGATAAGACAGTCGCTATAATTTGTGTACAGTTGCAGGCCTGGTTACCAAACTGTATTATTCTTGTTTTTATTCATTTATGTGAGGATTAATCTTTCGGTATTAGAGAACTTTATTGGTTGACCTCTAAAATGTGACTCTGTGACTATGACTTATTTGTTTCTCACTTTCTGGTGATAATTCCTGTACTACAGTAACATATTTAACCACAGCTAGATCCCTCAGATCAGAGGATAAGCCACAGTCCACTTTTAACACAAAAAAGGTTTGTTCTTTTCCCCCTTTAATAATGTCAGAGCAGCTCAGTTCAAAGAGCTTTTACGAACCCACCTGTCTAGACTGACATTTGTTTAATACTTTATTTCTTTTCTACTGTTTCATCAGTGCCTTTTTCAAATGCTTTACTGCCTTCTTTTAATGTTTTATTGATGTTATGTCATGTCTTGTGAAGCATCTTGTAATCCTTGGACACTTATTTCAGTGTGAGACTTCATTCTTGTGAAGCTGACCTGATGGAAAAGATGAATGAATCCCACCGCTGGAAGCTGCAGAGCAGCTCTGTCCTCTACTCCAACTCTCGTATTTACTCAGACAAAGGCGACTGCATGCCTCCCCAAAACCCAGATGTGCAGCCGTTCAGGCACGCAGATGAATTCCATTTGTCTCGTCCCCTCCTTGTTTGGGTCTCAGCAGATAACAGCTGGTTCTTTCTCATTAATTTTCCAATCAGGCAATAAAACTTAGTGCTCCGAGTCAACGCTGATTTCCTTTTATTTTTTTCATCCAGATGGAACAGTCCACCTGCTCCGGCTCCCCTACAGCCACTGCCACCTTTGGTCTGTTCTGCATGTTGCCATGCCAACGGGGACCTGAGCCCCTCTGGATGCTGCAATCAAGAATGTCTTTGTTTTTTCTCAATTTCAGACATGCACATACAATATTAAAGTTGGTTAAGATGAGTGTCTGTATGAGTGTATGCTGTCTTATGTGTCTTTTTACTGACTTAACAGTGCTGTGTGTGCAGCTCCCTCCTCGAACAAAATTTTACATAAAACTTAACAGTGGCTTCTGTCTCTGTTTTTGGATGTTTTTCGCTGGGTTCCTCGCATTCTTTCTCACCACTTGCAGAAACTTTCACTTTAGGAAGAGGAAGAGGATGAGACCAGGATAAGTTGACATTGTGGCTGCTGTTAAGAATATTAGGCTGTTTTTGTACTGAACCACACGGTGTCTGCACTTTCAATGATGAGTTCGGTTGCATTTCTTTATTTTCAACATACCAAAAAAGATGAAAACCCATAGTTTATCTCTCAGTGATGCTCAACTTTATATCTATAGGTTCATGCTTAACAAAAACAAATGTTTTAAGTTTTCTATATTCAAAAGGTTGAATTTTTTTTTTTTTTTTGAAAAAAAAATCTAGAAAATTAGTCAGCAGTAGATTGCACATTTGCTAGTGTGTGTTTTCAAACCATCTGAGGTATTTCTGAAAGCAGGAAATGTGATTGATTAAAAAATACTATGATGGCTCATGCTTTTTTTTTATTAGTATTATTATTAGTTGAAACTGTGGCACAAAAGAATAAACCATAGCAAGCTTTGGACACACGTGCAACATTGTGCTTGTCGGGAGGATTAATTCATCATTGGTTTTGGTCCATTAATGGGATTTATTGTCTTAAATGTGTGTATATCTTCCAATTTATCCCTTCTTCTCTACATCACGCACCTCTTTCCATCTTACCCACCTCCTGTCACCCTTTTCCATTACCCCTCCACTCTTTTCCTCCACCTCAGTCTGCCCTGCTCACCCTCATTTTCATGTAAATTAAAATCGATCCTTCTTCCAGCACCTCTCTCTGTCCACCTAACACCATGCGGCATCCACCCGTATGCCACCATACTGTATACAGCAAGCCTACAATGCAAAGGCAAAATACAACAAAAATGTTTATTTGGGCAATTGTAATAATGAACATTAGATAATAATAAAGAAGAATAAAAATAAGAGCTATAAACACAGACAACCTAAAAAAAACAAAAAAACAAAGATTTTAGTGAAAGCTGTATTTTGCGGAAGCTGCTGCCATCTTGCGTCCAGACTTGGCGCGGCTTTAACTGTGACGTGTCGCCGCGGGGTTTGATGGGAGTTGGAGTCACAATGGATTCAGTACTTCCTGCTTTGACGAGAACGAAGAAGAAATTTCGCTGGATAACCAAAAAGTTGTTCACCTTTCAAACCACAGCACCTTGGAGGGAGAAAACTAAACACTCGAGCAGGGTAAGTGTGTGTTTTTATAATTATTCAAGTCAGTTCGTTAAGAAATTAGCATTTAGCTAATTTTGAGCAAGAAGCATCGAAGTTTTGTCAAAGGAACAGTCGCTGACCAGTTAAACTCGGCTTGTCATGAACACATGAAATATGACTCCAAACCAGGCTTTATTAATAATTTAATGAAATATTTTTTTATCAGCAGCTCTATTACAGTACTTGTGAGTTTGTTGTGAGTTATTAAAGTGTGACTGCGGATGTGAGAGTTGCCGGTATAAGAGCGAATCAAAAATAGTTACCTGCATCTTAGTTTCCCACCCTGCTACAAAAATAGAGCTCACACAATAACAGTAAGTATTACGTAAGGAAAGACAGGAAAGTCCGTAAAGAAATAAATGCCCCCTAAAAATATGTCCTGGCTTTAGATTTCACACTGAAAGGGGTTTATTCATGGGTTTTTGTGAGTGGAACTTCACGTCATTCATTCAAGATGAGTCAGTGTTTTCTTTACATCTTTGTTTGTTTTGTTTTGTCCTGATTTTTTAAATTTAAAATTTTTGAAGTTTAGGGATTTTTTTTTTTTTTTTTAAATTGGAATAATTCACCATCCAGAGGAAAAATCCTGAACAGGGGCCAATAGTGAAAAATGGATTAATTTTATATGAGTTCGAGGGCCACTGTTGTAGAAGATGTTTCTGTCAGGAGTAAGTATATGGTTGTTCAGCCAAAAAAATCAGGACAAAGTCAGATTTTTGCTGCGGTTAGGAAGGAATTCTTGCGTTGAATAGATCCATTCAGTCCTGGAATATGTCATGATAACGTGACTATTTAGATTGAATAGGATCTTTCTGTCATAAACAATACAAGCAGCGGTAACAAAGTCAAACCAACCAACCAGTTTACCTCTGTGAATTCCTGCTTGTTGTCACATGGACACAACAGGCCTTGGAGAGACCACATTCTTCCACAGACACACATGCACAATGACAGATCATGAGAACCTCTGCTACAACAATAGCATATTTGTATAAACATGTATGGATTTTTACCTTTTCTTGGATAAACAAAATCTCTCAGAATAAGCTGAGATTTAAAATATGTTTGGATCCATAATTTTTGCTTGCATCCAGCATGAAAAACACACATTAAGACTTTTGTCCTTCCATCCAGAACAGCTTTATCTTTCTTGCTTATTGTACTTTTTATTCCTCAGATGTCCCTGATGGAGCATGGGTTAGTCCGGCCAGTGACTTCAGTGGCCTGGACCTCCAACAGTAGCACCTGCCCCAAAGACTTCCACCTGGTAGGAACATGAATTTTGTCTGTGGGTTTAACTAATGGTGCATTGTCTGATATGAATATTTGCATGCACTTCTGCATTTCACTCAACGGTGACCAGAGTTGTGTGAGAATTGCAGTCAATTTTTATGACTTTAGTAACTGATGAGCCTTGAGAGCTACTCTCCACTCTGTACTGTGATGTACTGAGGAGCGACAACCAATCTCTGCTTAAAGAGTTTTTAAATTAAAGAATGCATACTGGTAACCAGTGGGGCTACAACAGGAGTAGTATGATCTGTTTTCTTGACCTCAGTGAGTATAGGAGCGCTTGTATTTTTAGATTAACTTCCCTCAGTTGTAAGGAATTATGCAGAAATTATTTTTGAAAGATAAGATAAATGGTGCTTTTCAAGCTTAACAATGTTTCCCATCGTCACACAAACGTACACACCAAAGCTGCTATTAAAAGTGCTCACCTGCCACTGATAGTAACCTTGGGGCTCAGCGTATTTCCAGCTGCCAAGCTTGCAATTAGTGGACAACCCACTTTACCACCTGAGCCGCAGCGGCCTGAAGAAGATTGTAGCTGTCTCGTCTGCCTGTTGCACAGGATTTTGCTCATGTTTTTCCAACAGGGAAATGGATTGATGTTTGCGATTTAAGATTCAAATTTAGGACATTTAGATTTTTTTCGCTGGCAAATGAAATTATATCCATAATGCCATAATCTAGTTAGAGACCGAGATGAATTTCAGTACACAGTGTGCCGGAAAGCTCCAACACTAAGTACCTGGGGCAAGGGTTCAGGCAAATGTTGGAAATGTAAAGTAGGACAACAAGTGTTGTGGTGAACTAGAAACATGACCTTTAGAGAAAGAGACAGTTGTGAATGTTGTGTCGCCACTGAATTTGTAGAAGTTCAATGCTGTGTGGATCAGCATTTCAAGCTATTTAACTGACCTTAAAGTCAACATTTGATACTGATTTTTGTCATGTTTTCCTCAAGTTGAGATCTGTATTTGTTTTTCATAAACACTGCCTGCTTCTAAGAGCCAGGTAAGCAGTCTGAACTGTGTAGTTTAACCACAATTTTGTTTAATGGCCAGGATGAAACCAAATGCAGTAGATTGGATAAGACACTTTCTGCTCAAGTCGAGACCTTTTACGTCCCCACTAACATCAAACATTCTCTTTATGCCCCCGCTTGCCAAGTTACTTTACTGTAGGCATGTTTTAGATGTCATGGATGGTATGTTTTACTTTAAATTTTTCTTTTTAATCCCTGCTTTCTGCAGATCAGCATCACAGAAGACGGAGCATCAGCAAACTTTACCCGCAGCTTTGGGATGAAATCTGGATATTACCTCTGTTACAACAAGGTAGCAGACAGAAAGCAACACGTACATTATTTAACACATGAATTACTTGTGTGTTTCTCACCAGCCCTTTGTTCTTTGTCCTTCATAAATGGACTGTATTTCTCTCTGTAGGACTTGGCGGGTGGTATGGTAGTGACAGACATACAGGTTATTTCAGACAAGGACTCTATCCCTCATGGTTACTGCTATATAGCGGAGCACCTCGAACCAAGTAAGTAAACCCACATTCACAGATTTTGCTCAGCTTTGTAGGAGTGTGCACTGTATTTATTCAATGCTGATTTACTTTGCTGTCTGATGGACATTATCTGTATTTGTGTTTCCAGAGGCCTCTGTTTCGAAGAAGAAGCGGGTGTGTGTTCGCTTCGTCCCAGTGGGCAGTGTGGACACAGCTGTGCTGGATGTCAAACTAACGGCCAAAAGCAAAATGATGTTGCAGCATTACACATATGTGGGGTTGGTCGTGTAAATTTATACAAACATCTGTATTGTTCCTGTTGAATCCCATAAACACAGTCAAAAATTTGTAAATTAAATACCCCCTGGAAAGGTGCATTCAGTTCTTTTTTAAAAATTATACAGCTCTTAATTTGTCAATAAACGTTGTTTGTCCACAGAGACATCCATGGCTTTGTGCTGTGGTGCAGAAAGGGCCATTTTTCCAGCCCCATGCCCCAAGCCAAGCCCCGTAGCGTCAGCCTGGACCTGCGTGGCCTCTCTTTGGATCAGCCGTCTGCTCCTCTGCCCCTCAGACCCCGGTACAGTACTTATGTCTAATGCAGAACGTAGGAAATGTGATCATTTATGTCTCTCTGTAGAATAATATGGGTCATAAAATTGGGAGAATTTGCTTTTTGTAACCCCACAGCTCAGTTTCTGTTCTCCTTGTTTCCGCAGCAACCCTCCTCCTCCGCTGCCACACAGCAGACTAAGTCACAGACGCCACAGCCTCAATAGCAAAGATGACTTGGACAAACCTGCTGACAGCAGTTTCCAGGGAATAACAGGTAAGTCTCGTTTTAATCCACCGAGTCGTTATTACTGACTTATTAGCAATTCTCACCCACCTTTACTCTCTGCAGCTCTCGATGGAGTTCCATTTAGCCTCCATCCAAAGTATGATGTCCAGGCTAATGGGACGGTACGTTTCACATTTTCTACTATTCTAAAGTAGCGTATTCCATTGCAAAACATGGCTCTTTTTGCCTCACCTTTTTATCTGTAATATAAATTTCAATATCTTGTGCAGTTTTATCAGGTGCAATAGTTTCACTGTCAATATCATCACTGTCAAGTGCAATACATCTGTTTACTTTCTGTTTGTCTGTTTCTTGGTATTTAGCTTACATTTTTTTCTACTTAACTATTTCTTGGCATCCATTTGGACACTTTGCATTTTGTACTTTGTGTTCTTATTTGATTTCTATTTTAGTACTAACCTTTCTCTAACCTTTGTTTACTGTACTCTACCAAAACAATTTCCTTCGGGAAGAATACAGTCGATCTTATCTTATCTCTTATCTTTAACTTGTATTCACGTTTCCTTTTCTTTGCCATACCTCTCCTAGACTCCTCAGGTGAACTTAAACAATGTTCGTATAAAGTCTCTCCAAGACATTGAAAACGAGGTAAGCTCTGGTTCTCGATTTGAAGCCATGCCATTATTCTTACTTCAGACTGTGTGCATAAATTGACAATACTCGCTTTGTTTTTTTCCCCTTATTCAGTACAAGTACACGTTTGCTGTGGAGGAAAATGCCGCCAAAAGGACCAGACCAACGCTACCAGCAGGAGGTGCCTCATCAGCTCAGTGATCTTTGCACTTTGCCAAAGCAACAATATCAAACTTCTGGTCTGTCCAGATGAAGTTTGTAGAGAAACACTCCAAAACACGTTACTGATGAAGGATAATCCCAGCCAAGTTATGGTTTATTTTAAGTAGCTTTAAAAGGCTCCAGGTGTAACAGAATTTATTATAACTGGCTCCATTTAGAAGGTGGACTCTGGACACTAGAATGCATGAAACTGAGTGTCATACTTCCAATTCACTTCCATGTAAAGTCTGCACCATCTTTAAGCATTCATAATTTTTATTTGCCAAAGAAAAGGCCTGTTTGAATGAGATCCTGCATTTAACATCGTTGAAAGACGTTATGAGGTCAAATATGGAATGAATCTATGGATTTTTAGAGTATCTGCTGTTTCTGAGCTAATCGTCTCCAGCACTGAGCCCAAAAAGTTGTAAGATGAAAAGATGCACTTTGCCACTGAACATGTTTTCTGCATGCTCTGTCTAATGTCACCTGATAACTGTTACACACCTCTTTGTTTGAATCAGTAGGAATTTCTAAAACAGAACTGTAATTTTATTTTTAAGCGGAGGAACTTTGCTGCAGACGATGGCTCAGCAGATAAACTAACATCCTTAAATGTAGAAATATTTCTTTCTGTCAGGTTTGTTTTATTCCAAAAAAATAATATATCTTATTTTAAGGTGAATGTATGGCAGTTGTATATTTGCTATGTTTGTTCATATACTTGTAGATTTGTGGGCTCAGTGGGAAAGAGTTGTTTTTTGTTTTGTTTTTTTCCTTTACGCGAGGCTGAGTAAGGACCAAATATTTATCAGTGTCAGATTGTTGTTTTTATCGTCTCTATATCAAACTTTTACTGCATGGAAAAAATAAAAAGCTAAAGAAACAATACTTCAAGTGTGTTGCCTTCGTGTGGTTAATCCTCAAACCATTTATCAAAGGAAGGAAATCTGCCTGAAACCTGACAGCTTGAGGTTGTAAATTGTCCACAAAGCAGAAGAAGAACCACAGTAAATATGCTGTTTTAGATGACACGCACTCACCAGCTACTTTATTACGGATATCTGTGAAATCTTATGCAATCCAATGTAACCACGGTCATAAATTCTACTTTTACAGAGATTCTACTTTGTTGAAAAGGTTTATAAATCTGCTTTGTTATTGAAGTCAGAGTTGGTGTTGGTGGCATACTGGACTGCATGATGTTTAAAAGTGTTTCTCATGTCGTGTTTACGTCAAAACTGTTGATTAGGCTGCAAGGTGGCGCAGTGGTTAGCATCGTTGCCTCGCAGCAAGAAGGTCACCCGGGATCTTTCTGCGTGGAGTTTGCATGTTCTCCCCCGTGCAGCGTGGGTTCTCTCCGAGTTCTCCGGCTTCCTCCCACACAGTCCAAGAACATGTTGAGGTTAATTGGTGATTCTAAATTGTCCGTAGGTGTGAATGTGAGTGTGTTTGGTTGTCTGTCTCTAAGTGTAGCTCTGTGATAGACTGGTGACCTGTCCAGGGTGTCCCCTGCCTTCACCCTGAGTCAGCTGGGATAGACTCCAGCCCCCCAAGACCCTAGTGAGGATTAAGCGGTGTATAGATAATGGATGGATGGATGTTTCTGATTATTTTAAATGTAAATAAAAGCAAATTGCAGTTTTTCTGGTGCAATGCTGCCACCTGCTGTACTAAACAGGAGTGTTGTCGCTCAGGAGTCTTCCTTTTGCAGTTATTATCAGCCTGCATATTAAATTAATATTATTTTTCAATCTATCAGGTGGCATTAACCATATATTTTGTGCATTAATAATTCTTTCCTTTGTGTCTTCCAAGGAGTAGAATTTGCATATGAAAGTGCAACACACTACGCATGTATATGTAAGGCTGAAATTGAAGATTATATTCATCAAATGTACAGTGCTTACAATAAATAAATAAATTACAAATAACAAACTCAAAACCACTGCATTAAAATTGCTTATTTTCAAAAATCTAAAGGAATGAATATTAAAGGGATATGAAATGGAGAAAAGCAGGATTTTTTTTTCTCATAATATATATAATTCTGTCAGTTTTCTGTCTTTGAAATTAATAATGAATCAACCAATCATTTCAGCACTATTGTGCATTTAAATCTGCTTTTCATTCACATATTTTGTTTGTTTCGTGAGAAGATGAATACAGCTGGCGGCGGCGTCGACACTTGGTGGTGCTGGCGTCTTTGTGAGCGTCTGAAATGTGAAAAAACTGAAAACGTTTTCGTCTTGGTCTGACATGCTGTTAGCTTCATACTGTGATGCAAAATAATTTATTTTACAGCATTGTATACTGTATTATTTGATGCGTTTAGAATGAGAAATCAACATCTAATCACCACCTTCATCAGCTGCTGTCTCTGTCAGTGTTGTGTTTACATATTCAGTAATCAATAGTCGGGTTGTGGCATCGTGTACTGATGCTTTCCAGAGATGACAGATGAACATGACGTTAACAGTAACATAAAAGCTGGCTGGATTCCATTTAACAGTATTCAGACTGTTACTCACAGAGTCACATCTTGCTAACACATCTGAATAGCACAAAGTCATCTGTAGTGTTATTAGTAACACCTGCTTTTCCTGTTTGTTTTTTTAATGTATTTTTTTGCTTGATCTCTTTGCTGCCGTAACACCACAAATTTCCCCTCTGTGGGATTAACGAAGGCTATTCTTATCTTAGCCTTCCTACGCATTAAGTCGCAACATCTGCTGTTAAAAAGGCCAATTATAGTTTCACGTCTTGCACAATGTGAGCTCAACAGTAAACTCACGTAGCACATTTAAAACAACAAAGTATACTAAGAGCTGAATGTACAAAAAGATATTTAACAAACACATTTAAACAAATGTAATTATTTGCAAATTAATTACATTAACAAGCAATTTTGGGAAAAGAAATTAATTAGAATTTTGTTTGTTTAAAATATATTTGGGGGGTTTTGGTAGTGTAATTAACAACAAACTGATATTCACTGCAGTGAATTACCAAAAACCACTTGGTTAACTTGGAGTCTGAGACACCTCAGAGCAGGTGGCAAGTGTAAGTCAGTTAACCAGTTAATTGGTTATGTATTACTCTAATTGGCAGTCTTTTTTTCCCCATTTCCTTTGTATCAGTATCTTAATTGTGATAACATGCTGTTTCTCCATATTAAATTGTACCGGCTGTATACGTGTTTTTATTTTGTTTTGGGTGCTCAACCTAAATGATTTGTGACCTAAGTTTTTTTTTTTTAGGTCATCTTCACAGTTACTCCTCTGACTCATCAAATCCAAAGGTTTTTCAGTTACAGTCTCCTGTTCCACCCTAAATCCTGCAAACAGCGCTGGCAATTTCCAATCAAAACTAAAGGATCACCTCTATCTGTTGCTTTTAGTTCTTCCTGGAGCTGCTGAAGCTTTCTTTGTCTTGCTGATTTATGTGATATGGTTGTAATTGTTCTACAGTGAGTGTTTTTACAGTAAGTAAAAAAGGATTCTGTTAATAAATGACCAACAACTATGTAACTACGCTTGTTTCCAACCTGCACATAATAATTTGTTTTAAAATGAACTATTTATTTTGGGAAAATTCCCAAAGAACCATTAAAAATGTGTTGATCCACAAAGATCTACTTTGAAAATGTTTCCATTAAAAAAACGTGTTTCCTAAAGTCCTTTGGAGCACCATTTATAGTGCCTGAAGGAACCTTTTTTTTAAAAAATGTTTTTTGAGAAACAATTAGGGGGAATCTTGCTGAAATGATCTTTGTGGGATAAATAAACAGGTTCCCATGTAGCATCACTGTGAAGAACCATTTCAGATGCCGGGTTACTGTGTGTAGCTCCATAATGAAGTCGGCCACTGTAGTTGAAATGCAAAGAGCTTCAATTCAATTTAATTGTGCATTATTAACTGTATAGTTAATAATATTCATGCACTATTACAGTTTCTTGGTCATATTTATTATATACTTAAATGTAGTTATCATACAGTCAGTAGTGTTTTCTTTCTTTCTTTCTTTCTTTCTTTCTTTCTTTCTTTCTTTTTTCCTGCACTGTAGTTTGAGCCTTGCAGGTCTGTTTGTTCTGCTTTCCGGAAAACGAGCTCTGATTCCAACCAGCTGTTTCCCGCCTCACACAGATCAGCTGCACACACACACACACACACACTCACACACACACACACACACTCACACACACACACACGCTCGTAGTAGGCGGAGGCAAGAAGCCACACACACACACTGGAGGGAACCCCATCAGCTGTGGAAAGCAACACAGCTTGAATTTACTTCAGTTTTTCTAACGCTCTTCTTCAGATCAACCGATTTCCCGTCGTTACTTGTCGATATGTGTTATTGATGAGCACAGCGAGGTCTCTGTGGAAGAAACGATCATCTTATTTGAACGAGGAGAGCGCTGGAGGGAAAAGAAAACAGAAAACACGGACTACAGAAGGTGGCTTTGAAAGCATGGAATATTTCATGATGCCGACAGAGAAGATACCGTCCTTACAGCAGTTCAAGAAGACGGAGAAGGATGTTATCGGAGGTCTCTGCAGGTGGGTAGCTTGGGCTAAACCGTGTGCCTTCACACCAAACCGCTCGCACAAATAATCTTTCATGTGGCCGTGGCGTGTGTATGTGTGTGTGATGCAGTCTGACTTCATGTAGCACGCTAGCTGCTAGCCTCGCTGCCATACCCTGGCAGCAGCAGCATGCTTGTGGAAATTAGCCGCTTGTTGTGCCAGTTGCTGCTGTTTTGCGGCGACAAAAACGCGAGCTCGTTCGCGTCGCTTCGCTTTGTTCGCCGGCTGAATCGTTTCTTAGAACTTCTGTAGCACGTTTGCAGCCGTTTGGCTCCGAAATATGTAAATCAGCGACATGAAATCGATACATTCGCGTCCAGATGAACACCAACCACGTGGTAGTTAACGTGTTCCCCGCCGCCTCGCTACTACACACAAAATCACATGTTTGTAACGACGTAGTTCCTCACAACGCTCACTGTTTCCACAGAATTATATTCATGTGTAACTTCTGTGTAAATGTGTTGACTTTGGGGCACGTAATATTCTGTTTTGGCTGCGGTATGTGTGTTTAAATGCTTCTCCGCGCAGCAGCCATCGTTGTGTCGTGTGCTAAAATTAGCTTAGCTAGGCTAACTAGTTAGCTATCACTGCGCACTCGTTTTCTGACCGTGTTGAACGTGCGCTAGCTGCTTTTAGCTCGGCTGTGCTAGCTTGTGCGGTCGAAACACGTCATTTAATGCTTATTGCGGCGGACACAAGTGCGTATCTGAAAGCAGCGTGTGGTTAACTAAGCGCTAGCTCGGTGCTAACGGTGGAAAGCATTGTTCTCCATGATGCCAGGGGGCCTGCTGCTGCTGCTGCTGCTGGCGGAGTCACATTTCACTGCTGCTACCGTCCAGACTGGCCGACGCGCCCCCCGGCGGCCATGTTGGAGGTCCGCAGCTCCTGGCAACAGCAGCTGACAACAGCTGGCCTCGTCTCTGAACTACAAACCCCGACACGTTTCAGGCGTGTGGGATGGATGTGGTTGTTTGTCTGAGCTGTTTTGTCTGGCAGATTTGTGTTTACAAGTAATGGAGTAAACAAGGATGTCACGCCCCCCTCAACACCGATGGTTGTTTTCTATGAAAGCATTTATATTTTGATTGTCAGTATAACATTTGCACAGGAAGTACGATCGAGTGAACTCATTTTGGGGGGTAATTATAATATAATATTATAATATTATTGTTATTATAGAAAATCCTGATGAGAGGCATCTTATCCTGGAGCCTTTAGTGTAAAGCAGAATTTAAGTTTAGCGATTTATTATTTATTGACTATGTACTATTGTTTGACAAATTTTCCCTATTTTGTAAATTTACAGATAAATGACTAGTAAAATTACAGAAAGTATTAATTTGCACATTAACGCTAAAAAAAAAAAACATATCCAAAACGTTAAATATTGTCCATATCAGAAATCTGTATTTCTATAACAAACAGTTTGTTCTTTTACAGTGTATGACCGTAAAATGTTTTACTGTATTTAAGTCAACTAAAAAAAAAAATGTTGCGGATATATGCCATTGAAGGAAAAATTATACATATTCAGGACTGAAAACGGTAAACAATTAAACTCCTATTTTACTACGTTTTTCTGTTTTGTTAAATTACAGATAAGATCCAGATAAATCAGAATAAACAAGTATTAGTTTACATGCTGACTGTAAAAAAAAAAAAAAAAGGCCATAATTGTATTGAACATCCACATCAGGGGAAAAAAAGTGTCTTTTTTACCATCTATGACTTTGAAGTTAAGCTATTGTTTAGCTGAGCTAAGAAAAAATAATAATTCTAACAGATATTTGCGGTTATATTGAAGAAAAAATGTACACATTAACAACTGAACTGCATGACCACAGCAAGTTATGTTCAAGGTCACACTGAAACTCTAAAGCCTTACTGCCTTCTTCTTGACCTTATAAGAATTTTGGTACTTATTGGTTAAAATCGCGTTTTTATGTTTGTTATTTACTTGCTCCCAGAACCATTTAACACCATCAAGGTTGCAGCTGAAACAATAAGACTAAAATTGCCTTACACGTCGTAGGAATGAGTTTAAATGTGAGATCGCTGAATCAATCCGCCACATCATCATGAAAATAAATAGTTTTTATTACTTGGTTATTCACTCTTTTGATTTTGAAGGGGCTACATCTGTAATTGTGTTATATAACCTCGTGATGCCTGATGATGATTAAACTGAATGTCCATTAAGAAACCTGCATGTGATACATAATGGGACAGTGATGTTGATAGCCTGTTATTTATACATTCACTGTCTGCACTTTTTGTTGCCAGCTTTCCTTCCGTCTTTGACTGCACCAGCTGGGTTGCTTGTATTATATTTTAAATCTCCTGCTATGTCTTGTTTGCCACAACCCAAAGATAGCCAGCTACCGTCATAGAGGAGTAAAGACACAAGAACATTTTTAAATTCTAGAGGCCAGAATCAGAAAACGTTTTTCCCTTTAAAAAACATTCAATCTGGTAAAATGTTGCATCTCTGATAATGATGGATTCAAGCTGGAACTGATATTTATTTAAATTATTATTATTATTTTTTAAAATCTGTCTTTAATCCTGCAGCCACAGTTGTAACAGATGGTTTGCACATTAAACAGGACTATGGGGCAAATTTCCTTAATCGTCCATTAAAGTCCAGCTGAACGCGTTATATTGAGTGAGCTCGTTTGCAATATATTACTTGTGAGGGATGAACTGTTTCATCCTCAGTTACCAAATTGAACCCTAAATGATGCTTATGCTCCTCAGTCCGGTCATTCAGTCATTATTTTTGAGAGAGCTTTGAGAGTGGCATGAAATTAAAACAGAAAATGAAGCAAGTAATTGACCCCAAAGCTTTTTTCAGACAGAATACAAAATGGTGAAGCTATTTTATGTTCTTTCTAAGCTGCTTTTTCTCAGCTCTTTAAAACATTAGTGGCTTATCAACATGAAGTAAAATCCAATAATTTAACATTTGTTGTAGCGTGGTTGCTCATCTCCTGTTGAATGTTTCTTGCGTCTTCTTTCTGACTTTTCGTCTCAGTAAACCTCCCATATCTGGTTCTTCTTGTTGGTTGTGGCCATGTTCAACCTTAATGGTGCACATAGTTCTCCCCCTGAGTAAATATGACAGAGAAGGTTTTGCCCCCATGACATCCGACCTCGTGGGATAGAGGTGCATAAGGGGCCGCTGAGTTCAGCCAAACTCAAAGACCTCCATGCAGCTAAGCTGAGGAATGTGAGGACGAGGTCACGACTAACAGCCAGAGAAGTTCCAGGTCAAAGGCTTAAAGTGTCACTGACAAAGATTGCAGCAAATCGTTAGACTTTGTTGTTGTTGTTGTTTTTTTTCCATTTTGATGTGGAATTGAAGATTCACCTCAGAGTTCGGGGTTGTCGGCTACAGATTCATTCTTTACTCACCTCTTTTGTTGCTCCGTGTAAAAATAAATGTCATAGATCAATTACCATTGTTTTATCCAAAACCTCCGAGATAAGTTTTCTGATCTTCTCACTGATCTTCTGGGACCTCTGATGATCATCTCCCTCCTCTGATTTCTCTCCGTCAGTCTGGCCAACATCCCCCTCAGTCCAGAGACGGCCCAGGACCAGGAGAGACGAATCCGCCGCGAAATCGCCAACAGCAACGAACGCCGGCGTATGCAGAGCATCAATGCAGGATTCCAGTCCCTCAAAACACTCCTGCCACACACAGACGGAGAGAAACTCAGCAAGGTGCTGCAAAATGCAAACACTGACACATATGAAGTTGTGTGCTTTTACTGGGATGTAGTCGTGATCAAGCTTTAGCCCTCAGAACAAGCAGACTCTGGCTGTTTTTGACTCACTGTGGACTTTTACTACCATATAAAGTCTTGCACCAATACACTAGAAGTAGACAGAACTAAAAAAAATACAAATATAATGCCATAAATTGTGAAATAAAGGAGAAAAAAATTGAAAGATAAATTTTTTTTAATAAAGGAAATTGTAAATCTTTGACTGCGTATTTTCTAATAATAAAAAACCCTGTAATCAACATGTACAACATTCTTCCAAGTGTCTACAGGTGACACCAACACCAGAGGAAAAAATCGTGCCTCTATAGGCATTTTACTACTTGCATTTTGAATTTGTTTCCGTACTTTTCTCATATCTGCTCTGTGCAAACGCAGACTGCATTTGAGCCCAGATGAGCCAAAAAGTCCCTGAAACTTCCTCATGTCACAGTTGAGTCACTCATAGTTTCACATTTGCGAGTTACTGCAAAATGTTTATTTTTAGGGACATTTTTACATGTGACTTGTGGCGTGAAGTGATTTTGATCATATACCACATTGTTAAGTTTAGATTTCTTTGATTTCTCCAGATTTAACATAAAAGTCAGGCTTGATAAGGTCAGAAGTTGATAACAAAAGTTGAATTCTTTTTGTTTCTACAATTCCAGGCTCTGATAAACGGTTCATTTTTTTCCCCCCTCACTGATAGGTTTTGCATTTCAGAAGGTTAAATGACTTGATAAAAAGCGTTTATGGCAGTTTATGGCACATGTCGACACCTTTGTCTTGATTTCACTTGCCTTTTTACTTCTGTTTTCTGATAATGTTTCATGATGCGTTCAAGCACATTAATTAACTTTGTTGCTTCCATCCCTGCCAGGCGGCCATTCTGCAGCAGACAGCCGACTACATCTTTACCTTAGAGCAGGAAAAAACGCAGCTCCTGGCACAGAACAACCAGTTTAAACGCTTCATCCAGGTAACATCTTCTGACACTGTTTTTTTTTTTTTAAAACCATAAATGTGTCTAAAACTTTACCTAAAAAGAGGTCACTGAAATGACAGCAGTTGTTTGTTGTCGCCAATTTTATACAGCTCTTATCACTTACTTTACTACCAACAGTTTGGTGGTTTCCTATCTTTCAAGCAGCTGCAGGTTTTCCCTTGGCAGAGTATAAAACATGAGCTAAGAGTTCACGCCGGGTCTCTTCGTGCTTCCTCTGGTTGCAGAGCTGTTGCAGTCTGGTCTGCAGGGCGGCCCTCTTTAAGCCAGCATGTTTTACCACATAACAATGTCATGTTTGTTGTGAGTGTGTGCCTCTGGAAAAAGTCACTTGAAGTATTGTTGGCTGGTTTTCTTTCGGTCAAATCTGTGTGATGTTACAGCATACAGCTGTAGAAGAAGAATGTGTCATCTTCAGTACCACCAGAAACATCTTTTAATGTTGTTCTGACAAAGAGAAGCTCTATTTATGTGGAAATGTGTTTTCTACCGCTTCCTCAAAGGGAATCTTTGGGTTTCTCCCTACAATACAACATTTTGAGGTCATGTCCTTACACTGTGAAATGCCCTGAGATGACTTGTGTTGTGAACTGGTGCTATACAAATAAAACTTTATTGAACTGTGCGCCGGTAGCCTCCAATTGTACAATCATGGTTAGGGCTAAAGATTAACAATTAGATTGTTATGCAGTTGTAACCTCAGATATTGTTTGTGGGAGCAGAGAGTAGCTGTGTGATTCAGATCCTGTGCAGAAAAGGTGGCATGATTGGTTGTTAATGCTACTAAGCAAGCCAGTTTTTCCATGTCCGTTTAAAGGGCGTCTTTCAGAGTTACTCAGCCCTGAACGTGTTTTGTTAGTCCAGTTTAACCGTCAGAGAAAAAAAAGATCTCATCTATTCAGGAGCCTGACGGGGGAAAGTGAAAGTGTGCAACAGAATGCACAGATGTGGGTTTTTCCATACCATAGTTCATGTTTTACTTACATAAGAAAGAAAGGTTCAAAGGTGAGAACTGAGGGGAAATTGTTCCTTCCTTTAAATGGTCTGGTTTGTAAGAAACTGCTGTGATCACTGGGCTTAGCTAATCGGTGTGCAAATACAGTAGATTTGTTGTAAAAAAAAATCAGATTGATTCTGTTTGCTAGAGATATAAGCACTAAATGAACCCGTCATCGTTAGCTTGATTTGTGTACCGATATAACCAAAAGTCCTGCAAGACTAAAGAACATTTGATCTAGTCTTTTTTTTTTTGTGCATTTACCTTTATTATGCTTTGATCTCAGCAAGACTGCGCTGTAAGCTCCCACAGTGTCACACGTGTGTCAAAATTGTCGTCATGTTCCGTATACTGAGGTGTAATGCTGGGCAGTATTAAGGAATTAGAAACTAGAGATTAGTTAAATCCCAAATGATCAAATACCATCCGGTGTTAGATGTTGCGGTGAGGCTTGTTGTTGAGCGTGACTTTGTCGGCTCTGCCAGAAGGACATCAATGTGTTGCGCATTCATCATTACGGCTAAACTTTAATTTTATATTTGGACAGCTTGCAAGGTTTGGCAAACACAGCGCAGCATCTGCATTCAGTCGTGGCACGCGAAGGATAAGTTTATCACTCTCCTTTGTTTACTGTGCTGTTGGTTCACCTGGCATTTTGTTTCCTTGCCACACAGCCCATATGTTCACTTTAGCACAGGCGGCATGTGTTGTTGTTTTTTTTTCTTTAATGGAGAGCAAAATTCCTCCACAAACAGACAGTGTGTTGATTCGGTTTTGTTCATGTGTTCTAAAGTCTGTTTTACATTTAACTCTATGTGGCCTACATGTCATTCCAGGAGTTTAGCGGCTCATCGCCTAAAAGGAGGCGAGCAGAAGAGAAGGACGAAGGCATTGGATCTCCGGACACGCTGGAGGAAGAGAAGGTCGAAGAGCTGAGGAGGGAGATGTTGGAGCTTCGGCAGCAGCTGGACAAAGAGCGTTCAGCTCGCATGCAGCTGGAGGAGCAGGTGAGGCGAAGGCGGGAGGCCAGAGTCACCCATTGTCCTCCACCGGAAAGTGATTTCATCTCATGTCCTTGTCCTTCTGCTTTACTCAGTGTGATCGGCAGTCCCTTGGAGTCACGTGATTTAAAAAAAATAAAGTCACATCACGACCATTAAAAATTAATTAAAGCTACTCAGAGGCTGTCTTCAGGCTATGAAATCTCAAAATACCCACATGAGTTTTACCACTGTGACTTCTAATCAGAATGTGAGTCCTTCCAACCATGAGGGGCAGCTGGTGGCGCTGACAGGTTTATCAGGACATCAGCCAGTTCCTGATAGCCTGACATCCTGGATCCACCTGAACAGCAGGTTAAGACAAATGAGACCGAACAGGTAGCAAAGACAAACAGAAACTTACGCAAGTAGGTAAACATCAGAGGGGATGCAGGGGTGAGACTTTTCCAAAGAACCGAATAGAAGTCAGTATCAATATATACTCATTTTATTATCCTGCTTTGTCTTGTGCGGGTGAAAAAATTTCAGAGGAACATAGTGAGGCTACATGGTTGAAAATGAAGCCATTTAAAAAAAAAAAAGAAATAGAAATACAACCTAAAATCAGTCAGCAGATAATAGAATCTATGGAAATCCTAGATTGAATAAGAGAGATCTCAAAAACGTCTTTTGTGCTGTAACAAAATTATAAGTCAAGAAAAAAGAAAAAACATTTAAACTTCACATTTTCTTGGTATTTATTTTACTAAAATTAAAAGAAAACTTGGGGCCACAGACGTTACCAACACTGGCGGGAAAATGCTGGTTCTGCATACTATAGATCCTTCGTTGCATGTATTTTTTAATTTGTTTCTATTTGTCTTACAGTTCAGCTAAAAAGTACAAGAGTTTTTATGTGACTTTTGGTTGCCGCTGAGTCGGTCATGACTTGTTGCTTGCACCAAAGATTTTATATTTACATGCACATTTTCAAATGAGACCAGTAGAATGAAGGGATTTTATGAAATATCACGGTTTGGCTAGGTTTTTAGAAAAACCTGCCAGAAAGTAAAAAGACTCAGTTTTTATCGTTTCTGACTCTGAAAAATGGTGTAATTTTGACAACTTTCCAAAAGTAAGATGCCCTCCAAGTTTTCCTTAGTTTCTTTATGCAAAAGAGTCCAGAGGTGTGAGTTAGTTGTTGTAAATTGGTGGTGCAACTTTGCTTGACGTACTAAACAAATAGCTGTTCTCTTGTGTGTTCAGGTGCGCTCTCTGGACACCCAGCTGCACCCGGAGCGTCTGAAGGTGATCACCCAGCAGGTGGAGGAGGAGCAGGCACTCATCCAGAGCCAGACGCTGTTGCGGCTACAGCAGATCCACGCCGCCGACAGACAAACACACAGTCCACAGGTCAGAAACGCACACACTTATAACACAGGCAGCACCTGTGCTACGGTTTTCAAACAATTTCTGAGGTGTCTTGTTTCCTGTGTGAGGCTCAGCAATAGTGTGTAAATACGTAATGTTTTGTACAAGAATGGTAACGATTATTAAAGATAAGTCATATGTTAGAACAACAATGAAACAGGCTGCTTTCCAATATGAAGGATATGTCCCAATACACACTACATCAAATGTAGTATGCCAGAAAATATCCAGATGTCCTACTACATCTGCTCAGATTCTGCAGTATGCAAACCAGCATGCTTTGAAAGTTAAAAGATTCTGAGAGCAGCCAAAGTGTCCTGTGATGCTAAATGGATACTGGCCATAGCACTTGGGGGTTTTGGCAACAAAGAATGAGCTTATGTGATGTTACTTTGAGTTGGTGGCCAATTAATTGTACTGGATGAGTAGCACATGTCACTAGACGTACGCCACTGGAGCCGAGTGTAGCATGTGACAGCAATTAGTGCATGTATTTACCATAACGTTCATATTATGTTGCTGATTGTGTAAGGAATGAATAGCGCATGTAGGAGCCATTTATGTTTATAGTTGGCAGGTGATTTAGTTTGCATTATTTGGACACATGGTGGCGGTGATTAGACACAGGATGTATATGTAGAGGGCATAGGTGACAGGAAGAGGAAGGCACAGGTAGGGGGAGGGCAAGTGTGTGGACTGGAAATTCTGTTTTGGGTCAGTTCACTCCTGCTCCACCTGTGCAGTAACGGCAATAAAAAGACATTGAAAAATTGCCGTTTGGTTTTTCGTTTAATTAATATCTGGTCTGCCCTGCAGGTGCTGGCCCCTCCCCCTCCCCCCGCCCCCACCCACCACCCCACGGTCATCGTCCCAGCTCCAACACTAACCCAGCACCCCCACCATCACGTCACTGTGGTGACCATGAGCCCGTCTGCCCACACCAGCACGGTGTCCACATCCAGACAGAACCTGGACACCATCGTGCAGGTTAGTATGAAGAATCCTTGACATTCGTTTGTGATTTGTCGACTTGGTCTTGTAGTAGGTTTACATGCTTTGGCTTGCAACAGACAGTATATAATAATTTTCTTATCAGCCTCGCTTAGTTGGAAGTTTTCGTGAAAAATTCCAAGAATAAATAGTTTAGGGCACATTGATAACTTTTCACCTGTAACATATGAAAAGGTGTCTAAAACCTCCTTCCAGAAAATCCGGATTTAAGGGCAATCCCAAAGGCGATGAAAAAGTTCCTTTAATTCCACATTTGGCGCAGATATCAGGGATGTTGGGATTAAATTTGTTCAATAAGGTTGGTGTTACAGCCGTCCTCAAACGTATCCATACCCTTCCATTAAAGAAAAACAAAATTCATAACGGTCACTTAAATAACTAGAAACTGAAAAAAGTAATAATAAATAAAAATTTGCTAAGTTATGATTTAGTGAAATAAGACATTGCTTTTGAATCGTGGTTTGAAGGATAATTTTTAAAAAAAAATTCAACAACTTAGAGCACTTTGCTGATGAGCAGTGGGCCGTAGGTGTAGAAGTCTGACTAAGAGTTACAGAAAACACTTGATGGCAGTGATTGGCTCAAAGGGTTGTTCAACAAAATATTAGTTTACAGGTCCCATCATGCTTGTTTGCTTGTTTTTCTTTTGTTGTTGTTGTTTTTATATATATATTTCTGTTGAACCACAATTCAAAATGGGTATTGATGGATTGCATTTGGAGTTTTTGCTTTTTTTTTTCTTTTTTTTTTTTAATAGTAAAATATTTGTTTTTCACTCAAGAATGGTCTCATAGTGGCGACATTCACGGTGTTTTGTGTTTCGTCCCGGCAGGCCATCCAGCACATCGAACGCACTCAGGAGAGGAGAGCGAGCGCCGAGGAGGAGCAGAGACGAGCCGTCATCGTCAGCCCCGCCCACGTCACCATGGACACCGCCTGCTCAGACACAGACACGGACACAGAGGGAGAGGACTGCTCAATGAACTGATCCATCCCCCCACCCCCCATCAAATCCCACCTACACACACGCAAACACTTAAAATACCTATTCACTGTAAGATTCCCTCCAGGAGCTTGACTACTTTTTAAGAAAAAAAAAAAAGAAAAAAAAATCTCTCTTTGGCATTATCCAAACTCCTAAATCCAGTGGTTAAGCTCTGTGTCAGTCTTGTACTGTAAAATCTCTGAATATTGAAAACGTAGGATGGTCAGCGTGCAGAGGAGGCCCTGCGGGAGTTCTAGAGGCTGTTTTTCAATGTCAGAGCCGGTCTGTGGCTACTTGAAAACTTAAGGGTCTTTTCGTGTAAAAAAGCTGTCAGCATCAGTCCGCCCTTCATGTGTGTTTATGTGTGCTACATACAGTCGCAGTATCAAACTTTACCCCCTCGTCGCTGGCACACTGACAGTATTACTCGTGCTACAAATCGATGGAGTCGGTATAATGGAGAGTTGAATGTAACAACACAATAAGCAAGCAGCTCTTGATTCTGAAATGAGGTATTAAGTTGCAGTTTCTTCCCCCCCCCCGTCGTATTTTTTATTTTATTTTTTCGTGTGTGTGTGTGTGTTATTTCAGTGCCAGTGGCCGTGAAACCCAACTTAAAAAGGCTTTTTAGAAATTTCAGAATTTGGGACAAATTCTTGTAATCGCAGAGATGAATTCGAGGATACGCGTCAAACAAAATTATGTCTGATTTACTTGAAAAAGAAAAAAAAACTGTTGTCTTTAATATCTAAATAAGCCCTTAAAGAAAATAAGCTGTTGAACAACTTACATCGGTCGTCTTTCGGTTGTTGTGTTTTCCGAGTTTTTGTTAGCATTTACTTTGTGTCAGGGTTACTGAATGCTGAAGGTGAACATTTTGTTAAATTGAGATTAACAAATTGGAGGTTTTCACAGGGAACCGGTTGCCCTGAGATGAATTTTTTCGGATTTCAGTTGTGAGCCAACCATCCCGTTTATTTGTTATCTACTAGTGACAGCGTGTGTCGTACTCTTAACAGAAGAAAAAAGAAAAAAAAAGAGCAGGTTTTTTAAAAAAGAACCAAATGTTGGTTCATTGCCGCAAAACATTTACCAGCATTTTGTTAATGTCTGGCGTTGATTTATAATCCATCACAGACAATTTGACTGAATCAGACTCGCATCAGAGAAGTTTGGCTGATGAGAAAATCTGAAACACATTCGGATGATTCACGTGCTAACACAGCGTGCAGGCTTCCGGTGTTCCTCCAAAGACCGTCTTCTGGTCTTGGTTTGTTGATTTCAGTGACTATGCACTAGCGTTTTTTGGTATTTATGCAATCCCATCTTCAGTACATTTGTTGGTGTCATTTATACATGAGGTGAAGTTCTCTATGCACCGTTGATAGGTGTGTGCATTACACCTACAGTACACGTATGAAACTTGACATGCTCGTATCAAAGAATGTAGTCTCTACTTGCAAGGTGCTCTTTGTCAACCTGGTGCTCTGCTGATGAGCAGTGAGCTGAGGCCAAAACCATTCACGTATAACTTCACAGTTGATCCCTGCGTGTGCCTGATATTCGTCATTTTTTTCCCGCGTTTGTCGAAAGAGTTGTGATCTTTGCTCACGTGCAAAAAAAAAAAAAGTCACCGTCAGAACACGGCGGGGTCACGTCTGACTCAAATTCAACAAGCGTCATTTTTTAGAAGAGAATTCAACAACGAGCAGATTTAGTTGGGAAAACTAAACGACAGCAATCGCAATACGCCACGAAACGCGCAACGTCAGCGTTTTGGTGAGACTTAACTAAAATAAAAAAAGCACTGCAGATCTCCCCAGCCACAATCGCTCCGTCTCCCTTTCTCTCTCTCTCTCTCTCTCTCTCTCTCTGAAACGCACCACGTCTGTCCACCTCATGTTAAGTTGCTTATATTTCTCTCGGGAATTTGACTGGAAACCCCTGCTACGAGCCTCTCCTGTCATACTCGATTCGATACGCTGACTTGATGCTGTAAACATTCCTTTTTATTTGGATTTGTAACTTGTCTTTTGATCTCTTGTATGTTCTGTTGCCAACTGAATGGATATTACTAATTGCTGTTTTCTCTTGTCTAAAGCAGGCTTTTGTTATGACATTCTGTTTATTTTTTGTGGGTTTCTTTTTACTTTTCTTTTCTTTTTTTTTTCCATGAACACATGACTGATGCGTTCACTGACACTGTCTCGTGTGCGACGTGTGGACACTATTCACTCACTGACATCAGTTTTGGTTAGATTAGTACCTTCATGCCAAACATGGGGGGGAGGGCGGGGAGGGGAGGGGAGGGGGGATTTTTCATATTTTGTTTGTGAAGCTTTGTTAAGGGGTTTGGTGTTGTGCTGACAAATGTTAAGCCGCAGTTTGTGTTTAAACTGTAGTTTATCACTAGTCAAAGGCAACGCTTCCCCCCTAAATGTTTCTGTACATTGTGTTGCAGCACTGCTGTCTTTTGGTGGAGTTTGAGATATTCAATATGAAGCACTTGCTGTTCTGTACTGCCTGAATCAATTATGAGGAAGATTTTTTTTTTTGCCATTTATTTTTTCGTAAGCTCTTTGCTGTGATGCAATTTAACATCTGTCTATGGTGTTCTGCTCTTCTGTCTTTTCATTTGTCTTTCTTGTCCTGCTTTCCATTTTTTTCAGTGACAAGCTTTTTTTATATTTTGTGTGATTTTTAGTTGTTCTTTTTTTTTGTTTGTTTGTTTGTTTTATTTCCATCAGTCCAGGTCGATGAGAAGCTGTTATATTTTGTTTATAAAAAAAAAACTTGGGGTAAACAGGCCTTTGTAAAGATGAAAAAAAAAATAAAATTTGTACTTTTTTATTACACTCCCTCTGGTCGGTGAAGTTTAATTATACGCGTGATCCTTTCTGTCCACCAGGTGGTAACAATGAGCGGCGACTCATTTGGCAGCAGCAGAGAGGAGCTGCTCTGTAGCCGGGAGTTCAGACTAAACAGGTGGCACACAGGCCTCATTTTAACCCCTTTTCAGTGGGAATACACTTACAAAGCTTTAGCAGTGAAATGTGAAGACAGAATTCGATTTTACTATTTGAATGTTGATTGGGAAGGGAAGCGCTAGTAAATGATAATTCTTTGATCAGACATTTGCAAGACTGAATTAACACCACATTAGAAGCCATGAGACTGAAAAGCCTTGAAAGTATGACACTTACATGATTCTGATGTTGTACAGGTAGAATTTACTCAACAACAATATGAAGACAGTGTGTGATATTTTAACACACATCACAGTTGAGTACAAACGTAGTTTGAAATGATACTGAGCAGATTGAGAGTGAGATTGTGGATCAGAAATCAAATCAATAAGTCACTCATCTGCGACACAGAGAGCTAATGAGGTTGTTGATACTGACTTGTGGAGCTTGGCCAACGTTCTGGGGGACTCGTTGGACATGTCCATCCACAGCATCATGTGGCAGATTGTTTAATTGCTGAAACTATTTCTTGGATGACAGTGAACATTCAAGTGCTGACTACGGCTGTGACTGGCATCCAGCATGCCGACAGATCTGTTTTCTCCTGTCATCTGTGGTATTGTGGTGTTAGAAAGAAGCAACATTTTATGGAGTGTCCATGTTCTGGTCATGCTGTCTGACTATTGTCCTGTTGATGATGTAGATTAACTCAGCAGAGTTTGTCACCAGTTGAACAGCTCAAAAACTTTAGCTTTTTCCAATTGGCTAAATTCAACCCTCCTCTAAAGCAATAGAAATTTGATTTATTTATTTTTTTCTTCTCCAAGTCAGAAAAGGAGACCAGTTATATCCATTATTAAGAAGTGGAAATAATATGGCACATGTGTCAAACTGCTAAGAACAAGTCATCCTCAAAAACTGAGTGCAAGAAAGAGACTAGTAAGGGAGGCCACCAAGACACCTATGACTCCTCTGAAAGAATTACAAGCTTCAGCAGATGAGATAAGAGACAGTTGGCAGATTCTTAACCAGTCAAAGGAGAGTGGCAAAGAAAATGTCACAGCTAATATATATATCCATCCATTATCTATACACCGCTTAATCCTCACTAGGGTCGCGGGGGGGCTGGAGTCTGTCCCAGCTGACTTAGGGTGAAGGCAGGGGACACCCTGGACAGGTCACCAGTCTATCACAGGGCTACACTTAGAGACAGACAACCAAGCACACTCACATTCACACCTACGGACAATTTAGAATCACCATTAACCTCAACATGCTTTTGGACTGTGTGGGAGGAAGCCGGAGAACCTGGAGAGAACCCACGCTGCACGGGGAGAACATGCAAACTCCACGCAGAAGGATTCTGGTGCCCCCACTGGGACGCAAACCGGTGACCTTCTTGCATAAAATCTCGACTACAGTTAACAAAAGGGCATATGGGAGACTGGAAGAGTTCTTTGGTGTGATCGGAAACAAAATTGAACTTTCTAGCCATTTTCTAAAACGTTCCAATTATTGGACACATTAAAAAAGGTTCCTTCAATATTCTGTGGATGTTGTGGGGATGTTGCTGTTGACAGCGTTCTTCTGTAAGACCTTCCTACAATGTTACATGATAACAAAGGAGGGACATTCTCAATTTGGAAAATGTTTTAAAAACATTTTTAGAGCATCTTTAGAGAACTATATTCTGGCATTAAGGTGAACATTCAGGGAACTAAAAGGAAACTTCTTGAAAACATATCGAACTTTCTCAAAATGCTTTTAGAAAATTGTAGCTGTGAAGATCCTCAGACAGGTTTATTAACACGTCCAATTTATGTTTACTATTCAACCTAATACTTTTAACTGCGGGAGCACAGCCAATCTCTTCTTGATTCCCTCTTCTCTCGGTGTTCCTGATTGGACCAGGCAACTGTTCTGACACACAATGGCTGACCCGGGTGCAGCTGCTGCGCCCCACCTCCACTGGCATGCCCTCTGACCTTCAACCAGCGCAGTATATATAGCTGAGGGAGATGAGCAGGAGGCCCCTGGCAGCCAAAATGAAGTCTCTGATGTCTGTGTGCTGCTTTCTGGCGCTCCTGGTTCTGTCTGCTGCAGGTATGGCAGAGGGTTGGGTTGAAATATTTAGGATTCCTATTGCTGTTTGTTAGATTTATTCATGGATGCTGTTCAAGTTGATGTGGTGTTTGGAATGGAAACGCTGATCCACCGGATGCATGTTCATTTGGTTTTACGTATCAGAGCTTTGCATGTCTTGTTGAGAGCTGGAGAGGCTGTAGGCAGTGATTCTGTGAGTCATTAATGAATATTTTTTTAGTTTAATTTTGATTCAGTGACGGAATATTTAACCCAATAAGTTCCATTTCATTCTGATAAATTGATATCATGCTTCCTGCCGGTGTGAGGTTGTAAGCAAACTGGGTCAAGGTGAGAGCTGCATTCTCAGGTTTACGTCTTTCAAATGTGCAGCATAGTGTTTGGCCTGATATAGCAGAAGCAATGTTTTTGATGTCAGTGTACACAAACTCTAGTAAAGCTAAGTTTACCGTATGCTTCCGTGGTGCAGTGCAGAGTTTGTGGTGGTACAAGTGGAAATGTCAGGGCTGAGGTGTGACACCAGCTGATGGAAACTGTCCTGCCTGCTGCTTATTCTCTCTGCCCCAGAGACAAACACAGTCACAGCACTGACAGAGCCACTTGGACTCACTACAAAGAGTTGCTTTCTCAGCTGCTGCCAAAGCAACAACTTGGCTGAAGTTATTTATTTTCCCCCGCTGGTTCTCGTTCACTTTGACAGGATTCTGGCGTTTTGCAGTTGCTTGATGTTTTACAGGTGAATGGAATTGTTGTCTTAAGCGAACAAATCAGAAATCAGCCTGGATGTATTCACTGCAGGCGCGTACATCACGTCGGCTGCTCTGTTTGTCGCCGCTTTAGGGGCTGTTCGCCGACTTGTCATTCTTTATTAAAAGCTGAGGCAGAGGATACCCTTGTCTGTCCTTGTGCTGGTTCATTTTGGCCCCTACAATCCACCGTAGTCAGGTGTCAGGCATCAGTCTGACAAAGTCGTCACCAGATACTGTGGTCACTAATGCCGCGGATTGATGCACATCTCTTCAAGGCTCTCAGGAATGCAACCACATCTACATCGCGTCCACGTTCACATGCAAGGACTCACTCACCTGCTTTGAATTACAAAACAATCGTGAAATCACACAAGAGTACAAACAGACTCGGCGTCTACAGCTAAAGTCAGCGCAGCGCCTAATGTCTCAATAAAGCTTCATCACTCTGCTCCGCCTGCAGAGCTGCTAATCTGTCATTCCAGTCAGTAGGGTCCATGTCCAGGGGATGTCCCGGCTAAAACAGGCATGAGAGAGCTCAGCAGAGGGCATGTAGGACCGGAGTACAGTAGCCCAACAGTTGAGCTGTTTAGAGTTGCATAACTAGATAAGCAAGTACTATTTAAAGTCAGTGTAAATGGAAATAAATTGAAGTAATGACAGGGTTGGTACCAGAAAGCGTGCCGCCTACCTTAACCCTGTGAACCCCAAGCAGTTTCTGGCACATTTTGACTCCCTGTGGGCTCATTTTTTTTATTTCAACATAAAGTCAGGTACCTCTGTGGAAACAGCACAACTCTGGCTAGAAGGAAGGAGAAATCAAAAATGTATTTTGTGCAGTATGATGCAGTTACAATGCCATAAATCACTAAAACAACTGGAGCAACTGGAATAACAATATATATGAGCAACATTTTGTAACAGTGCCCACAGGTGTTACCAGTGATGCAGAAGAATAGTGACTCCACATGCTTTAAATATTTAACTATTTATATTTTTACAACCTTTAGAAACTCTGCATTTACGACTATTAAACTCCAGAAAGATGTTTCACCATGCTGAATGTATCTTCCAACAACTTGCTGACACTGTATACCATTTTTGAACCATGCTACATTTATGTTTTTTAAGCAAGCATGTTTTTGTTTTGTTTTTTTTCAATCTCAGTTTGCTTCCATATTTGTCTCCTGTCTGCTTTGTGTAAACACAGCCTGCAGTTCAGCCTCAAACAAAACCTTTTGTCTTGTCGCTGCTAGCTGTTAGCACGTAGAATAATGTGATTTTAATGAAATGTCACGATTTTAAGCGAAGAATTTGATAACTTTCCTGATGGAACTGCACATCACACATGATTTGATCAAGGGCTGTCAGACAGTTCTTTCTATTTTTGCCGTTTCCGGCTCTGATTAATAATGACATTTTGGTTATTTGTAAAAAGTTAACATGTCTTTCAAACCTGATGGTGGGGTTTAGGTTAAAGTTAAGAAATGCTCATCCACTGCTGACTGCGTATTGGTGTTTCATGCATTTTTGTTTTTGGCACTGTTGTCTAAAAAGGATACGTTTGCATGTATTTAAATATATTAACATCATCCATCGTTCATTGTTGCTCAAGTTGCACAGTATGTGCTATGCATGTCATCAGTCCTGGTGTTGATAACACTGATCATTCTCGGTCTCTGAAAAGATTCCGAGTCATGCGCAGCCACAAACTGTTGCAGGGACTATCAGCAATAGTGCAGCAGAGTTGCAGTCCAGCCTCCTGACAATCACAGGGAGCAGAAGAGCGTCACACATCCTGAAAATAGGAGTGGAATTATCCCTCCTTCTTTTCACCCTCTGACTCATTGTGGGACTATTTCGGTCTCAAAGATGTGCTATACAGCACCCAGGCACCTGTCCCACTCTATCCCCACAACACTGCGCTCTTCCAGGCTCCACTGCAGTAACAGTGGGGAGTTGGGACCGAGGAACCACCAGAGAGACATGTTGTGCTCTGACAGTGGTACAGGCAGAGAAAAGATCTGCACATTGCACCAACACGTTAATAATACATAATGTGTTTGTGTCTTTTTTGGATGAGAGCTTTCTCCATTCTCTCGGCACACTGAGGGAATGTTCACACCAAATGTGCTGCACATTAATGATAACAGAGCCATCCATCCGCTGTCTATACACCGCTTAATCCTCACCAGGGTCGCGGGGGGGGGCTGGAGCTTATCCCAGCTGACTTAGGGCGATAACAGAGCATATTTGTTTATTAATATAATAATAATGTATGGGACTTGTGTGTTTTTGCAAAATTAAAAGAAATGTAGCAGTAAAGTAGAATAACTGCAACAAAGCATTACGAAGAGCACAATCTAAAGTTGCACTGATTGATATTTTTACTTTTGTATTAACAATAACTACTGTACCATTTTTGAGCTATGCTGCATCTATTTTATAGAGCAAGCATGTTTTATGTTACTCTGTCTCTCAATTTTTTTTCTCTTCTCTGCTTTGTGTAAACACAGACTAAAGTTCAGCCACAAAGTCGCAGAATTTTCGTCAAGTGAATGTTAGTTGAGCCACTCGACGCATCTTGATTGCATAAGGGAGTGCCGGTTCTTTGATTTTCACAAGATGTCATTTTGCAAACTCTTTACTTTATGGCGGTTTTAAAATGAGACATGTAGAATACAGGGATTTTGATGAAATGGATAATTTTCTTCATGTATTCACTCTCAGACCACCAGACTATTAAGAATCTGATTGATACATTTACAGTCTCTGGTTCTGCTAAGCTGTGTTATTTCATCGATTAAAAAAAAAAAAGAAAATACATCCCTTTTCTTAAAACCCACAGGCAGGTTTTAGAGTACAAAAGATTAATGCAAACGTCAAGATGCTAAAATGCTCACAATTTCAACTTAAACATGCTGAACTTGTAGCAGGTGTAGTGTTAACCAACATCTTCTTATCAACACTAAGAAGAGTAGAATTTTGCAGATATTACACAAATTAAATATGTTTACTTTATAATGACTCTAGATGAAAAGTAAAGGAATGTTTGTAGAAAATGTCATGCTAGTCCATCTAGTATTTATTGAAATATTATACATGCAACCATCCCTACAGCCAAGTAGCCATGATAGAAGAAGAAAAAAACATGAAACAGCTCTTTCCTTGGTTTATCTCTATTACAGTGTTTTAATCTGGACAGAATGTCTTAGAAACTCCCCCGTAATATGTTCAAACGTTCACATTTCCTCCCCCACTGGCAAATCACATCCCTGACTATGTTAACTTTAATTTAATTTAGCCACTGCTGGCACAGCATAAAAGGTTCTTCCTGCTTTATCATCATAACTATCTTGAGGCATGCAAAACAAAAAAAGCCTGCAGACTCTATTCAGCCATTGTGATTGCAGAGAGATTGTTTTAAACGCCATGCTTTAGCAGTTAGCAGGCCAGAGGTCTCTCCTCCAAATTACGTCAGTGTGCACAAATATCTGCTTCCTATATAGACTATGAAATAAATGCATCAGAGGACAAAATCACAGAGCGCCTTTAATGTACGCTGTGTAATATAAACAAACCGGTGGAGGGCCATTCAGGACTGACCTTGTTATGTAATGTCACTTAACTTTGGAAACCCACGTTCTCCGGCTCATTCCAGGACCTTGGCTGCTGCTGCTGTTCATGTTACAATGCAGATGATGCTGTAGCACCATGTCTTTTGGACAGCATCCAACCCTGAGTAACCCGAGCGCCCTCCTTAGGTTACCCGTCGCTAATCTCCCTCACATTTAATTCACTCAATTACCGACGCCTACGGTACACTTAAGTCCGGCCAAGACACGTTTTACGAGCCCTGGGCTGCGCCGAATGCCGAAGGCCGGACAGAAATGATTCGAACTCCGCCAGCGACAACGAGGGAGTGCAAAGTGAATATGTGACTGTCTGCAGGAAGTTGCTCACGTGCGCTCGCTGTCTCCCTGAAGCTGTCCACATGAGGCTTAAAAGAATGAATGTAGCTTGATAGATATTAGTACATTTCTGAGGAGGTGATTTATGTGCTGTATGGTCAAACACTGCAAGTCCATTGGTTTTACATGCAGGGTTTGACATTTCACAATATGCAGATTCTTATTTGTGACTTTAAGGAGCCAGGTACAAAACTGTGCCAACATCACACTGCAAAAAAACCCATCAGATTAAAACCTCCTCGTCTTTGTAATTTGGGATTATAAACTTGTATTTCCGTGGTTGCTAATGCTGACAGTCCCCCCCCAGGAGGCGATAAGCTAACAACGCGTCCACATACGAGCGGTGACGAACGACGTCATGAGAACGAAATTGTTTGATGTGCGATTCAAAGCCTTAAAATAGGGGAGGGAAAGCGTCATGGATAACACTGCACGCACGGGGGGAGTACATGAAGTCCTGCTATCATCATTTAGGACAGCTGGATGAGCATTAAGTCCTTCATCCAAGCTCAGGGTAATAAGCATCTTCGCTAAGACGCAGCTGATCTTGGTTTGGTGGACTCAGCCTCTGGTCTTTACACTGTTACTTTCACATCCACATTTAAAACAGAAAGCAGCTGATAGCTTTGCAACTCCGTGCAATTTCCATGCACACGTTTTCATGGCTTCTGCAATGATCCTAGCCTGATAGTTACATTACCACCTGGTTTCACTTTGCTGAACAAATTGGAGATGAGTTCGCTGATTTGGAGGTTTGGAGGCAAAACCATTATAGATGAGTCATGTGTTGCATCTCCGACTATTTTATTACAGTCTTATGCTATTGTTTTTTTCTTTTCCCAGCAGACATTTTGACCTTCCACAGAAACAAAAAGCACAGGCAATATGAGTTTCATTGACTAAAATCCCAATTCCAACAACTGTCCCAGTCAGCCATGACAGTGAGTCAGCAAGCTCAACACCAGGACTCTGGAAGTGACTGACCTGAATGGAATGCAGTTGTTTTTAACGGTATCCATCACATCTCTGTGCTTTCACTGCTACAATATGCCACAACGCCTGCTGTGATTATGGTTTGTTTTTCTTTTAATGTAATTCCACCATATTGAACAGACCTGTGCAAGTGTAGAGAAAGATTTGGGATTGATTGAACTTCTGCTTATTGGTTGTTCTTCTTAGTATTGTTACGTGAAAAACATTCATTCATTTATTTATTCAGTCAAAAGGTCATGAATAAATAAATCCAGTCGAATTTTGCGGTGGGTCAAATGTTCACTCTGGGAACTGTAAACTGAAGATGAAGATGTACCAGATTTAGGGACCGGCGCTAAAGAAGTTTAATCAAAGCCTCGCGAAATATCTCATGCATCGCATTAAGCATGACAAAATGATGACAGAAGACTAAACAGCGTGTCTAAAGCCCGTGACAGCTGCCTGCAGCCATTAGTCTTCATCCTTTACACCGACCCCGTCTTGCAACCCGAGCCGCAGACATACGTTTGACTGTCTCATATCACACTGTGTACCACTGTGTTCCTCCACACAGGCAGTTATAATTAAATAGAGGTCACGACCTTGTGCTCTTTGTAGACGATGTACATGCAACAGGGAGGGAGTCCCTCCGTTTATAGACACGATTGCTTAGAACTGCAGTAACTGTGATCTAGTGGATGCAAAAGGTAAAATAACTGAAGAAGAGGGAAAACTTGAATGAATGTTTTCAGGAAGAAAGGAGGATACACACAGATCATATGAGCTGAATTGCATTTAAAGATTGTATGTCTGAGTGGAAAGACACCAGGCTTCACAGACAGTCAACAGAAACACATACAGTCATCCTCAAATGTATTCACAGCCTTCCATTGAAGAAAAGGCAAAATTCACAGTAGTCACTCAAATAACGAGAAACTGAAAAAAGTAATAATAATTTTAAAAATTGCTAAATTATAATTTAGCGAAATAAGACATTGCTTTTGAATCCTGGTGTAAAAGAATGATTTAAAAAAAAAAAAAAAAACTGTCCCAGACAAATTAGAGCACTTTGCTGTCAACAGGTGCAGAAGTCTGACTGAGAGTTACAGAAAACACTTGATTGCAATGATTGGCTCAAAGGGTTGTTCAATAAAATATTAGTGTATGGGTCCTATCATGCTTGGTTGCTTATATATTTTTTTTGGTTGTTTGTTTTGTTTGTTATATTTCTGTTGAACCACAATTCAAAAGCAATGTCATGATTTTCATTATTTTTTTTATTTTATTTTATTTTTTTTAATTATTACTTGTGTACAGTTCTGGGGTAACAGAATAAATATTTCTGTTTTTGGTGCAATACACAAGTTTAATGCTTATTTTACAGCTTAACATTCAATGTGGATTAATCAACCCTAAAACTAACATACATTACAATTTGTATTTGTTTTTTATTAGAAATGAAGAAAACAAGGAAATTAAACCTAAATATAAGCCTAAATCTACTCATTCATTTTTTTCAGTTTTTGTAATGAAATTTATTGTAAATGCTGGCAATTTGCACCTTATTGTAAATATTAACTATTTTTGCACATAAAAATGTGCTAAAAACTGTAAATACCAGCATTTTTAGGCACCTTATTGCCGTCTCTTTGACCAGCACAATACGATTTGCACCTCGACTGCATGCTCTTTTGTAGATTTGTCCTGTATTTATTATATGTAACGTGTGAGGGATGAATAAAGTATCTATCTATCTATCTATCTATCTATCTATCTATCTATC